AGAAAAAGTGGTATTTAGCAGCTGAGAATCAAAAACACAACCTCAGTATGACAAAGTGGAAATGTGTGCAAGGCTTTTGTCTGTCACGTACTTACATGTAAAGTACTAGATAGTGAACAGAATAGGAAAGTGGAATGTCAGCTTACTTTTATAGGTGAGCAAGTGAAATAAGTTTCAGCTACAAACAGATAAAGTAATCTATGCGATTGGTTTCCTACACTGAAATATTTGGTTCCCAACTTTATGGTGAGCAGGAAGTGTGGCTAAATGACCACAGAAAACTTGCTGTTCATTTTGAATTTCAAAAGTTTTACTAATTCATTCTAAATTGTTAATAATTTCAGAAAGAAAGCAAACTCTGTTCAGGACAAATCAGCACTGCCATTGGCAGGTGGGTTATTTGCACATGAGATAGTTCTATTTCTTTCTGTTTCAGCCCATTAGCTTGAACGTGGGCATCAAATCATTAGTTTTCTGTCACTGGAAGACCCTCACAGCTCCCTGACTATATAGAAAAACAAGTTTCAGATCAGGTAACTGTACTTGAGGTAACAGGGCTTCTACCCACTTCCTTTGAAATGTACATATTTTAAGTCACTTCTTCAATGCTTTTACCTTTCTGAAATAATGAGAAAGAACTAAAAAAAAAAATCTCTCTCATCATAAAGTCCTTGGCTGATTACTAGCTTTTAGCAGACACTAATTATTTACACTGGTGAAAAATGAGTATAGAAGGATGTATCTCCACATGCAGTTAGCATGCCTGAATAAACTCTGGTGTAGTTTGTGCCAGAGTTTATTGTTCCTGGGCACAGCATCTTCACACGTGTCTGGGACCATAGTACATTGTGCTGGGGCAGAACAGCCCTGGCTGGCAGGGAGTCCAGGAGATCAGACTTCCAGCCTGGGGCTGCTCTCCACCAGCTCAATGTGCTGTAGAGGGGCTACCTGGGGTGTGAGGTTGTTAGAGCCCCAGCCAGACCCATCACTGTCTCCACATGTGTTGCAGCAGTGTAAATTATTCTGCCAGAGGATAGTATTTGTCCCAGACAGTACTATCCTACAGCGGAGTTAAATAGTGTACTCTAATAGCATTGCATGCATAGATGGTGAAGATTTACTGTGGAGCTAAATAGTCAGTGCTGCAGTGAAGTGCACATGTAGATGCACCCATACAGTACCATTATGATCTAGTAGCATTTTGTACCCACTTCCTACTGGGAACATCTATACAAGATGTTTACTGAAGAGCTGACAAGTGTGAAGATGCTGTCCCCAGGAACTGTAGTAATTTTCAGTGTCTACATGTGCAATGCTAATGAGTAAAAACTCCACCACAACATACATGTAGATGCTGACAGGACTGGCTGGGGCACAAGGGTGTTTCAGTGTGCCTGCCAGCTAGCCCCACACTGGAGCACCCTCATGCC